CCCCCCCACTGTGCTTTTCTTGGTGTTGTGGCCTGTGATGGTTTTCACACCATTCCAGACCTCCCTCATATTGTTCCTCTCCAACTTCTGCTCCACCTTCCTCCTGTAGGTGTCCTTTGCTTCCCTCAGATCTATTGATCTATTATAGATTAGGGATTACAAACATAAGGCCTGGGGGCAAAATTGGCCTGGCAACAGATGCAATCTGAGCCACTGGACAGCTTTTTAAAATGTGATGGATGGTACACATTTTGGATTTTTTTTTTAAACTGTATTTTCCGTTTTTTACAGCTTTTCTTAATGATAAAAATCCTACTCCCATCACTATTCACACCAATTTGAGTAAGTCATAGGTAATATTAGATAAAAAAAACTTAAATGACAGAAACGTTTCTGATTTCTGCAGTGCGTTCACAGTAAATAAATAAATAAGGATATAGTCTATCAATAAACAAAACCTTTCTATTATATAGTTACAGAACAGTCTGGGCAATGAGCAACCATAACTACACATGCATTTCCTACAATCTTAGATTGTAGGATTGTTTGTTTGTTTGAAATAAATTAACAAACAAACAAACAAACAAACAATCTAAGCCAAAAGATTCGTGCTGACTGAGTTCTATTTAATACAGCTTAATTTCTTTATCATGCAAAAATAACCAGCATATGCTGTTGAAATTGCACTTCTTTTTCTTATATTAAGATTCTGCAGACATTAAAGGTGTAATTAAACCTCTTTACACTGGTCCGGCCCACGTGTAAACAAAATTTTCTGCATGTGGCCCACGATTCAAAATGACTTCGATATCCCTGATGTAGAGTTCTAGGCTTCATCATCCACAGGTTTTGGAGAGCGAAAAGCGTTTTCTAACCGGGCTTCCGTAGATGGTGCACAAGTATGCGCACAAGAATGCGCACAAGAATGCGCGTGAGTAGCTTTTGGCGCCCGTGCTGTTGAGCCACACTTTTGTAGACATAAAGAATCAACTGACCGCGTGGAAAAGAAGTGCCGTTGGAGCGATTCTCTTGTTTTAGGGTATGTATGCAGATACCGACTTGTTTAAAAAAAAAGGTTATCATTAACAGAGGTGTCAGAGTTAATTGGTTCACTGTAACGAAATAGCAGTATATGCTAGCCAGTTGTTTTACCATCTGACGCTGTCTCGAATGAGAGAGAAACGCTCTGTTAACTACAGTTGCAGTACTTTAACTTAAACAGGCAAGCGAAAAGTAACAGTGTCTGTTCCTTGTAATGCTGTAGTTGTATCATAGATCTTAAGATTATGTATCCGTTTCTAAAACGTCGAGTGTCGCATTAAACTTGAGTACGTTATTGTTAGCGCAAGTTACGTTAACGTTACCCGCACGTTTTTGGGTTTTTTTTTGTGCCAGCGCACCTATTTTAAGTCCCTCCGCATTGCAGTTGACACAATAAAAGTGAAGTAGGTTTTCCCTAACGGTTAAAGGCCAGCTAAAGTTAGCATGCGAGCTAACGTTATAAGAATTTGGCTATCTTTGAATACTTTAAGAGTTTATCGCTAAGCTAGCTAATGCTACGTTTTTACTTCCCTTTGGGGGCCATCCCTTTGTCAAGGTTGCCTAATTTTAATACCCCAATGGGCAAATAACAGTCTTCACAGTTAAATTCGTTTACGATCCAGGTGTCTGTGGCGGCTTTAGGGCCTATGGCCAATCCTAAATGTGGATATCAGGAACACATGAATGTGAAGGATTTGTTATTATCAAATTCCTTTTTTTGTTTGTGTTTTTAGATCACAAAATGGGAAAGAAGCAGAATACCAAGAGTAAGAAGGATGCACAGGATACACAGGAGGAACCTGAAGAATTCGTTGTGGAAAAAGTGCTGGACCAGCGTGTTGTGAATGGGAAAGTAGAATTCTACCTCAAGTGGAAAGGATTTACAGAGTGAGTTGGCTGGGACTCCTGCCCCCCTCCTGCTGAGCTGGAAGTGCTTCCCTGGTATGGGGTTGTGCTATACTTTTGTTTGAAGTCATTGTGGTTGCATGAAGACGGTGCCTTCATTCAAGCAAGCTAGCTGATGCTAGTATTTGGCTTTTTTTTTTTTCTAAATGGAAATCAGTGTGAATTGATGCAATGCAATCGTTGACTCTCTTTCTGCTTGTTTAGTGCTGATAATACTTGGGAACCAGAGGAGAACCTGGATTGCCCTGAGCTGATTTCAGCATTTTTGGAGGCTCAGAAGAACGTTAAGGAGAAACCTGCACCTGTTAAGAGGAAGGCCTCCACGGAAGAGCCAGAGACTGAACCTAAGAAGAAGGATGTGGTGAGTTCCTTTGCTTTCACAAGTTTCTGCAATTAGCATGTCCTAGAGACAATTTAAATTTAGAACCGTCAAGCTTAACATGAGGGCCATTCAGAGAAAGGGTTGCATAACTTAAACAAAGACGAGCATTAGAATAAATGAATGTATTATAGATAAATCATATTTGTGCTTAGCTAGGGTGGTGTGTAGACATTTAACTTAGTATTATACTTGTATAATTGTGACAAACCTAATTTTGAATAAGTCACTCAGACCATTCTCTTGAAATGCAGCTGCTTCTGAACTTATGCTAGAAAGTGCAAGGATTTTAAATGAATCAAAATGTGTTGTTTTGTTTCCTTCCCATCTTATATGCCTACATTCTCTGTTGTAACCACCTACAGGCTGAGAAACCACGTGGTTTTGCTAGGAACCTCGAACCCGAGCGAATCATTGGCGCAACAGACAGTAGCGGGGAGTTGATGTTCTTGATGAAATGGTACATTTTTATGCAATATTTCTGGTCATTGAAGAAAAAAAAAATCTCATATCTTTGTCTCCTTGGAAGCAAAATATAATGAAATGACTGTTAGTTCAAGACCTTTGCACAGTAATGTTTTGTTAATCTAGGCAGTGTAAGTCATAGGATGGATGTGCATGGTATACAGTGAGTCACTGGTGTTTCATGCTACAATGGAACACGGCCAGTGAATTCAAAAGTATTGAGTGCTATGATTTCTGGATCCTTCACAGTACAAATAATTATCCTGAAATATTGTAATAGCAATCAAAGAAAGTTTAAACTGAAGGAAGTGTAACTGAGTGGAATTACTTGGATAATTGGATGGGGTTTTTTTTTTTTTGTTTGTTTTTTGATTTATTTTTAAGTTGTTTGCATTTGAGCTCTTAAAAATTGGAAACTTTCTTTGTTTCACTAAATGTTTATTCTTAAACCCTTGAACTTAAAGCTCAGTTTCTACACTTCAGTTGCCTTTCATTGCTTAGATCTTGCTACATGGTGTACAGAGCCACAGTTATGAAACTGTCACTGTCCAGGCTGTGTTCCTGCTGTAAACCTTTCCTCAACTTATAAACTTAGTTGATTTAAAGTACATTAATTTATGCTGGCTTTCTATAATGTTCCTCTCTCAATCTGCCTTCTTTTAGGAAAGACTCGGATGAGGCAGATTTGGTCCCAGCCCGTGAGGCCAACACCCGCTGTCCTCAGGTGGTCATATCCTTTTATGAGGAGAGACTGACCTGGCATTCCTGTCCAGAGGATGAAGCCCAGTAGTTCTTCTCTGCAACCCATGCAGTAGTCTACATCAACATTGTCAACCTTTTCCTCAGGACTGGATTTCTCCTGACTTGCCTTCTAGGTCTAGCTAAATTAGTCTTCTTTTTTTTTTTTTTTTTTGTTTCTTTTTTATTTTGGAAGAAGTTTCAACACTTGCATGGCAGTCGGTGAGTTCTGTTGTAAATATAAGCTTAGCCGATTGTGAGAACAGGTGATAGTGTTTTGATTAAGAAGTAAAGAAAGAAGCCTTCTTGTATTATTGTGAATGACTGATCTCTTTAGCCCCTTTTCAGACACGAGATGTACAACAATGTTGGCTTCAGCAGTCTGCTCAGCAATCTGTTATTCCAACATGGATTGCGCTTGTGTTCCTAATGGCTTCATTTAAATGTATCCAAGATGGTGAAGGAGAGCTCTGTAGTACGCACAATTTAGCCATACATTCAGAAGGCTTGTTTGTGGGTGAGGTGCAACTACAGTTTTGATTGGTTTTCTCACCCTTTTTCAATAACAGCACAGGATCTGACTGTGTGTCGTTCAGAGCTGTGCACTTCCTTCTGAAGTGTGAATAGTAAAAATGCTTCATGGAGGAATGATACTGTATTTAAAGTCAATAGCTAAAGTTAAGACTAAATGTGATGCATAGATTTGAAATTTAGGGCATTAACTAGTGAGCTTTGCAACTCAGAGATTCACAAGATACAAGTACAGTTGTAATCCAGTGCATGCATGTCATTAATAATACTTGGTTTAGTTTAGGTGCTCATTTAGACTTGAAGTCAACACATTCAGATGCAGCCAGATTCATGGAAGCGAGTGCACAGCTGAAAAAGGACTGTTGATTAGGGCCACCTTCATCTTTGTTTAAATGTTTTAAATTCCAAAACACTTTTCTCACTCTGCCACATTCTTGCTCATGTTTTCTACTGTAGTGATGTTTTGTTCCATAAATACTTTTTGTATACTGTCTTTAAATATTGTTTGTCGTTCTAATAAAGGTTTTATGCCAGATGTTTTTTTTTTTTTTTTTTTGTCTTTTAGTTTTTTTTCCAACTACAAATACATGTAAGACTTTACTGGAAGTAATTCAGAGCGAGTTGCATATGAAACAAAGTTAACAATTAGGATTTCCTTATGTACCTAATAGATGTTTCTTGGGTGAAGTTTTTTACAGTTTTGTCTTCATGCTGCAGTGCTTTGGTTTTCCCGTGGTTTCACTCTAAATGCAAGACTGCATAATGGCATGGGAGATAAGACAGTGAACCTTTGTGCATTACTGATTTCTGTGGGAAATCACTCAAGTTTCTTATTTGAGTGATTTAGACAAGGTCATGATAGATATCCAACCTTTAGTCCTAGCGGAAAAAACAACTGCTGCATGAATGTTCACCTACAAATTTGATAACAAACAGCTAATTTCTCTGAAAAGTTTGTTCTGTAAATGCTAAAGAGTAGTGAGTAGCCTGCAGAAAGGATACAGGGATGGAAAATGGCCTGCTATTGTCATTTCCTCGTAAGTGTTTAACTTTTTTTTTTTTTGATTAAGTCAAATATCTATCCAAATAGATTAGTCTGTGGTGGCTATGATTTCATGTGATCTGTACAGCAAGGTGTAGTTTGATTAAGTCAAATAGCTAATCACAGCAACACAGTCATGTCTTATCTGTTAAGTGCTTGAATCATTTCAATATAGACATACAGCTATATTAATGGAAATTAAATGTCAGTGCAGCAATTTCAAGTAATATAAAACATGCTTAAAATAAATCTTGGTCTGTATATTTCACGTGTCAGCTTTTGTCAACTCTGAATTTTGCTTAATTGGCCATAAAATGTAGAAATCGGATAGAAAATGGTGCTGTTTTGTAACAGTCTGTAAAAGCAAATGAAAGTTTCTGTTGACACAAGATAAAGAGATCTCTATATGCAAATTACCATCCAACCTAAGGTGACGTCTCACTAGTTTCTTGATCCACTCTTGGACTGGTCAGAGGGATAGACGCCAACTGGCTTTGGTAAGATCTCTTGGTCTTCAATTTTAAAACGGTCATTGTATACAACAATGCTTGCTGTGGGCTGGAGTTCACGTAGACTAGGTGTCAGTGTCATCTCTGACGCTCTGATGCCTTGATTAGAGATTTTGATTTAATTTTAAAACTTTTGATTTATTAGTTGAAACGAAGCATAACACAGCCCATGATGTGATATCTCAGATAAGGTTTTGGGATGTTGTTTTTGTACCGTATCATGCTGCAGTTGCCTGTCTGTCTTTATGGCTACGTTCACACTGCAGGTCTTAATGCTCAATTCCGATTTTTTGATCAAATCCGATTTTTTTGTCTGCTCGTTCACACTACAAATAAAATGCGACAGCAAACGAGCTCTAGTGTGAACGCTCAAAGCGGCCCGCATGCGCAAAAGAAGATGTCACACACAACGAGCTCTGTTTAGACCCAGAGCAACAGTATTGTTTGACTGATGGCCCTTAATATGCAGACTTCGGACTTCACGTTTCCCAATTTTTGCTTTAAGTTATTTTGTTATTTACATAATAATGTAAATAACCTAATAATGATCCTTATTGCTGTTTAAGAGAGGAGCGGTGCTTCAAAGGATAGCTGCAGATTTCTGTCAGAATCTGCAGATTATACAGTACAAATAAAATGTTCACATTGTCTTCCCAACAGTTTCACTAACATCTACACTGGATGGCCAGGAAGCGTTCGCGATGTCTTCTCGGGCGCTTCTCTGGCGCTGATAATTGGCTTCAGTCTTGTGTCGGTGACGTAAAAGGCGGATTTAATGCGACTTGACCGTTCAAACAGCAGTCGCTTTCTAAAACATCGGATATGTATCGGATTCAGAACCACATACGAAAGTGACCCAGATCGGATTTGAAAATATCGGATTTGCGCCGTTCACACTGTCATAGCATGATCGGATATGAGTCGCATAGGGTCAAAAAAATCGGATTTGATGCGCTTTGTATTGTATTGTATTGTATCTTTATTTGTTTCAGACATATAAAACAAAAAACAATATATACACACTACATATATTTTCATTTACAGATACGAATATATATGTAGATACACACACACACACACACGTATGTGTTCATATAAACAAAAAATATATAATGAAAGAAGTATGAACATACTTATTCTTTCGCCTGCAGTGTGAACGTAGCCTTTGTCTCAGCTTCACCTTTCAAAACTAGCATGCATATCTAAATTTCATCTAGAACTGCAGTGAAGCAGTCGTGGACAACTATGTTAACAATTAAAGTCAGAACAATGGACAGTTATTAAATTTTGATTTGTTTGTTTGGTTTTGGTTAAAGTTTCTCTACCCAGCCACCATACAGTGTTATTGTGGTTCAGAGCTGGTTGTAGGAACAAAAAAGAAGCAGAAGAAGCAGACATAAAATCTCAGACCATGAAGTGGTACTTTTAAATTGTCTGAATGTTTCTAAAGGTAAATCCCCATAAGCATTTGCATTAGAAGAAGCATAAATGGAAGGGTTCAAGAAGAAAGAGATCAATTTAACAATGAATCTGTTTCTTTTTATTAGTTAGGCACGTACAATCCATCAATCAATAAATGAATAAAGTGAATGTTTCAAAATCGGGTTGTTCACAGGCTATTTTTTTTTCTGAGGTCCTGTAGAGACCAGTAACTATATAAAGTTATTATGACTTTATTTGGGGTTGTCGCTGCATTGCCATCGCTTGGCCTCCTCCCACCAGGTGACACCATTTAAACTGATTCCGGATAATACCAGTAAGAAACAGGTGCGCAGAAAAGCGACGCTTAACATGTTACTCTCATCTGAGATTCTTGATCATTTTCTTTCCGCCTGATTTAGACGAATGATTTAAGAACAATGCATTTTACGATTACTTTTTAAATGTTGCTTGTTATGGTATACTTTCTAACTACGTGGCCTGATCCAGTCGGGAAAGGAGGTCGTGCTTAGCAGTGGGAAATTAGTAGTAGCAGGGTTGGTATTAGTTCAGTCCAGGAAGGGCTAAGCTTCAAGCCAGGTTAGTGAGCTGGTCCTGGTTGTTCACATTATCGTATAATTTCACTCGAGGTGAAGAAGGGAGAGGTAAGGTCAAAGTAGATGCAAAATCGGGCGTCCTTCTCGCTCTTTTTTTTGTTAATATGTTTGTGGGTTCGTGCGTTTGTTTTGTTTTGCGTTTCGTCTTTCCCTCTCAGTAGCTACCCTAAGTCCCGATGCAATAAAAAGAGGGCATCCTGGGGTTTCCATTGAACTCCGTTTTGATTACCTGTTTTAGCCCCAAAGAGGAAGGAAAGCACAAAAAGTTAAATGGGAAGAGTCTTTCTTCCTCTGTTCTCAGGAGGTTAAACATTACAAATGATTTTGGGGTATTCAGAAGATGTATAATAAGCACTGATTATGAGCGTTAAATCATTGTTTAAGCCCTGTTGTGTTGTCCTGGATAGTGGTTAGAAAATTATAATACTTCATGCTCTTAAGTGTTTTAGAGCACTGAGTGCGTGTAACTTCAGATCAAAGTGCACTCCATTATGCAATTCCCTGCAGCATCCTGTTAACCTCACGTCTATGTGTAGGACCTGCTGAATTATTGCAGCCACAGGACTGTTGTTGAAGAGCAATGACAGTCTTGAAGGAAGAGCCTACAGTCACCTCAGTACAGAGTTTATCCAAATAGATTAGTCTGTGGTGGCTTATGATTTCATGTGATCTGTAGAGCAAGGTGTGTAGTTCAGTCTCTTGAAGGTGGCCTGATCACCCTATTTGAAAACGTGTTTAAACTTGCTTATTATCTCTGGTTAGACTTTAGGCCTGCAAATGGCATGTTTAGTTTGTTTGTTCATGAACAGATGACTGGATAACGCATATGACTAATATCACTGTAAAGCTAACCTTGTAGAGTTGGCTTTGAAAGCACTAGACTGTATTTCCCATTCTAGTGGGCTGTTTTTGTCCCAAGTGTGTTTTGCTATGTGCCCATGTTTAATGTGTTCAGAACCAAGATTTCCCACACATAAGCTCAATCCTCCACCTTTGCCCCTCATCCCACTTGATCCCAAATCTGTTTGAAATCTTTGCACTCCTAAATCCTTCAAGGCTCAATTGCTAGCCTTTTGTTTTATAAAATGGAATTGGGACAAAAGAAATGCTGTGATTTTAAAAATGCTGTTTAATTCTGAGAACCCATAAAGGCTGCTATAATTTTGCTGAAATCAGACCACCTGATAAGCAAATAGGCTAAAAGAGATGGTACTAATGTGTTTATTTCCCTTCCAGGTTTTTGTATCACTAATGGACACTATTCTGGATAATTTTTCAAACACTGTAAGTGGCTTTGATTTTATTTTTTATTTTTCCTGTATCTTGTTTTGTTTATCTATAATAGCAAATAGATAAACCCAAACAGTGGGACAATCCTGTTTTCATTTTGCCCACGTTCACATTTTCATTTTGAAATAATGGAACTCTGGTCTTGATTTTTGCAGGAGTTTATTAGAGTTTGCGTTCAGGATCCAAGGCTTCATAAAGATGGCCGCTGGCACACACATGTTGACTACGAGATTTGTTTACATGTAAGTGCCAATTAAAAAAGAAACTGTTCTGTTAGCTTTATTTTGTTGTGTTTTTGTAATAAGCGTTTAATGAACTGTTGTCTCTTGCAGACTAATAGCTTGTGTTTTCGAAAAAAGACCTCCTCTGTGAGACGGCGCTACAGTGAGTTTGTTTGGTTGCGTCACTGCCTGGAACAGAACGCTTTCATAATGTATGTTGAGGTTTTCTTGTTATGATAGTGATTAATCCATGTTGTAAACTGATAATCCAGCAAGTTACAAATGTATATTTATATCCATGTCCAGAGACATGCCTAAATTGCCACCCTGGAACCCTTTCTTCAGTCTGAAGAACACAGAACAAGTCATCCAGAGGATCAAGGGTCTGCAGAAGTTTTTAGAAATGTGAGTTGCTCTTCTGCTGAAGCAGTTTCTGA